TAGTCAACATATACTGTATAACTGTTTAGATCATTAGATGTTTTTACGTCACAAACAGCAAATTTTCACAGAATAGAGAAATAACATGTCAAGGCCAACATGTGGGTCAGAGATGGTTATAAGTTAACTGGAGCACATACCTTTATTTAACGTTTATCAGCACGAAACCTATTGAAAGATTTTAATAGGCAACTTTGAGGTGAGAATCCCGCTCGTCTTACTCCCCAATGGGATTTTTCTGATGCTGAAACCATTTCTGTCTCCCTGTTGTTAGGGAAGCTGAGGTAAGGTAGATTATCGACCCTCTCTGACACTTTACAAATGGTAATCAATGGTTTTGTTTGTTGTCTTATTTTGCCTGTCTCCAATGCTTCTCAAAAGAGATAATAATTGGAACTGATAATTGTTACCAGGCTCATAACATATTGACCTGCGCACCTACAAAAAAAAAAAAAAAAAAGGCAAATTGAACATAAAAACCAAAGCTTGAAAACTGACACAGTTAGCGTGTCTCGTGTCGTCTCCTCCCAGCAAGACTAAACAAATTCTTTTGTGGTCATTTTTCAAATCCAGTCAGCAGTCTCATTAAAATGCCAGGGCACATTTGCAGCGAAGATATTGTGATGTGCGTTTCGACTTTGGAAAAAAATAAGATAAATGCCAACCAAACTCATACTTTCCAGCTTGAGCAGATTTTCTATTATTCACACTGATGACTGTAGAACAGAAGGAAAAAAAAGGTTCGAGCCATTTTTCTTCCACCTGCCGGTTTTTGCTAGCGACTTATTACGCGATCAATCACACACACTGTGAACGGTGTGGAATCAATTAATAATTGAAAACCTTTAAAGTACTTGAAGGGCTGATTGGAATGTGCCTTAAGTTAGACACAGGCACTGGGGAAGGGCACAGGGTTAAATAGACATGATTAATCAGCCTGAGAACAGCATTTGAATGAATCTGAAACAATGTATGAGCCTCTCAGTGAACAGGAATTGGGTGTTACTTCTACACTTCCATCTAATTTAGCAGAGTATGAGCATATTAAAAGGAAAAAGTCAAATACTCATAAAGAAAATATCTCAATTTTATGTTCTTTTGCTGGACAGTAGTCTAATAAATTGTTATTTGAGAAGCTGATACATTTGTTTGAATGGTAAATGACATAAAAAAATGTAAAAATGTGGTTGACTGAATCGGTGTCAATAGCTGTGTTTCCATTGACCATGAAAAYGTGCMAATTAGAATTTYGAAAATAAATTTGCTCAATGGAAACACGTCAAATTAGAAAAAAATTATGTTTTTCGACAAAATGTTTTTGTGCTAGGATGAGGTGGTTTTTCGGCCATATCGAAATTGGTGTTTTTCGTAAAACTGCAATGGAAACACTTTTTTCGCATCATGGGAGTCACGTGATCAACAACTGGCTGTTTCTACTGGCAAAAAAGAAGATGACGAAGAAGATAACAGGAAGTAGAAATAGTAGTAATATCACATAAGTAGTATAAAGTAGTAAACTCACCGACTACATTTTCCCCAAAACACAGCATACGTAGCCACTCCCAAGTAGGGAATTGTCGCTGGAAAGCCTCGATAAAAGACGCCGACGTCTCCTCTGATGATGAGCGCTAGTGTCGCGGTAGCAACATGCTATGTGTTTACATCCATCAACGCCATGTTTGAAATGACTTATTGCGAGAACAAACATATTCACGCGTGACTTTAATAGCATTTCTTACTCAATGGAAACACCACATTGCAAAACTGTGTTTTTTCGACATTAACAGAATATCGACAAAGTTTTGCGCACATTTGCAATGGAAACGCAGCTAATGAGAATTAAAGGCTTAGCATTCTTTGGAGGAATTTAATTTTCTGTCTTCCCTGCCAGAGTTTGAGCAAGTTCTCATGAGAATGCCAGAGTAAACGTTTTAGTCAAACCTTCACAATTGCGTGGAATATCACAGTCACGCTCAAAGACTGTGTTGTCAATGACTCTCAGCTACCACCACATCAAATTTTAGCTCAATATCTGTAAAACTGGCTAAGTTACAGTCATTTATTTTATGTGTCGGTTGATGTTGATTCGCTGTGGCGGCCATCATGGATTGACTCTAAAAGTGAATCAGTCGTACAGGTTCACCCAGTGATTACTTCCTGAGAGTTTCTTTAAAATTGGTCCAGTTGTTTATGTGATATTTTGCTAACATTCACGAGCACATTCATTGTTACTAAATGTGTGGCACATTTGGATTCATAATTCATAATGTTATGTATTAGAAACATAAATGTGTGCATTACCAGCCTCAGTCTGAGTGATGCTACTCACCAGTTCTAGTGATGAGAGATGACCAGATGTGTTGCTACATCAGCTCCTGTATCTTAGATGTATGTATGGCTGTCCCCCATCCTGCCATCTGTAGGCAACTGGGGGTCACGACAGACTGCTGCCACTGATTTGCTGGAGAGCAGCTCGAGTGTGATGCTGCCGCAGGCTGCAGACATTCTCCCTCGAGGAGCAGCGGCTAATGATTTCATCATTTCCTTGAATATTGACAGGCGCCCTGAGCTGGTTTACAGTGTTGTAGAGCGTATTACCATCCATTAGGGGGCTATTAATATTCAGCCAGTCTGTGTGTGTGTGTGTGTGTGTCTGTGTGTGTTGGTCCTAACCAGCTCCAACGGGTAAAGATGGCGAGCTAAGATACGACTGGCTCATCAAATATCCGTGATGTGGTGCGACTACCGCTGCGTCAGGAGCCTGTGGCCCAGGAATGACCTTCTCCCTGCCGAGCTGCCAATCATTACTCATCACATTCAACATCTAGACACATTGTCTGCTGCATTTCAGGGTCTCTCTGTCTACAACTCAGCTGCAATGTGTTCATTCCCCCCACTTTTTTTTAAATAAATGCATGTGAGATACGGCTGCTGTCAAACTCCTTTTCACACAGCCACCTTTAAAACCTTCATTGGAACACCTATTGTGGGTCATTATATTGGCCACAATAGGTGCAGACAAATGGCCTTTGATTATAGCTTGACTTTGCAAGGTTTGTCCCACTGCCACCTTCACTGCAGTGTTTTTCTTCACATTTTTATAGCACCACTGAAGCGAATACATGTCCCCTAACTAGGCATAGTCTGGTTACCAGTTTCAAGGTATATGAAGGTTTTGAAAAGTCACAGAGGCAAAAACACTGATTTTTTCCATCATATTGTTCCTACAAGTGAAATGCCTTTTAATAAGTTGCCAGACAGAGTTTTTGTTGTTTTATGCCCTCCTCACATGGGGCACCAGTAGCACATCGTTGCTCCTACCTGTTCCCCCCGAGCCATCATTCAGAGGATTCCCCCAAATTATATGCTCATTAAAAAATTGTTGGTTTATTCAACAAATTACCCAGTTAGTTATAGTTTGTCCACCAGAGGAGCAACAGCTCTCCTTTTCAGGATAAAGCTTTTTAAATGCAAATATTGGAAAAAAGCTACAAGAGTTAGCATGTTAGTAGGTAAAATTTAAACAGACTACACTGTAGACTAAATAACTTAATAACCTAGCTAATTAGGTAACATTGGCTTGTCAAGCCCTATTGTTTTTTTTTTACAAAGAGCTGAAGAGTAGAAATTAGTAAGATGAGCACAATTACTTTAGAAATATGTAATAAAACAAAAATAAAGCAGCAATAACTACATCTAATTTAGATTTCCTTCATTCTCAATATTTAGGATTAAAGTTACTCATTCCAAACTATAATTCAGATTTTAAAAAGTCCATCCTGAGCTTAAAATGGTGCAGTTTGATGGAGCTTACAGTAGTTTTCAGATACAGGGATTCTGAAATGTGGGTGCAAATTCAATGTAAACAAAATTTAAAAATGTGCGTACTTTAAGCAACAAATCGGAGCTTAAAATACTTACCATTACATAACAATGGATTTTGAATAGCTTTTCTGTAGATGCTATTGTTAATCTGGTTTTAATCACTTTAGCTGTTTTTGTAGATAAACAAACAAGCGTTAGTTGGCAGCCATTTGTAGTTTTTTTCTTTAATTGTGTAGGGACTCAAATTATCAATATGAGGAAAAAACATATATTTTTTGCTTTCTTATGGCAATTTTTAACCAGTCTTTAAAACATTTCAGACTAAATTCTAAATATTAGGTTTTATAATTAAAAAATATTTAATAAAAATCAGAATTTCATTGAAGTCAGTCCCCCTATTTTCTTCTGTGCATCAAAATGTGAATAAGTGGACATAGATAGTATGTTTAATAATATACTGTTATACCTATAAATGAGTAATCGTTAAGCACTGTATAATATAATTTAGGCAGCAAAAGCAGTTAAAGAAAAAAATTGTTCATGTGGCATATTTTTACATTTTTGGTTTAATGCTGTGAAATCATTGGGCTCATTCTGTTAGAATCCAATGCATACCACCAACAGAAAGTCTATTCCTGATTTGAAATTGACAATCYGAAAATGATTGAAAATAAAGACACCAGAACCATTTTCTGGCACTCTCTCTTTTTCAGCTTTGGAAATTTCCTCCCTGCTGTTGTACAATTGTTGTTGGTGATAACCGCAAACAGCATTACAGCAACCAGGAAGGATCCTGTTTGTGTTGTAACAATTTGACTGACAAGCTTGTCGCCAAACAACCACATGTCTAATGGAAACTATAACCTGGTTCTGAACGCTTCGGATGGAAGGAAAGCTCTGTTGTTCTGAGGAATTCTGAAAGCTGTTCGACTTTGGTTAAAACCAAACTATTCTGGGCAACTGTGTGCAAAAGACTTGCAATAGGGTTTTTTATATTGCCTTTTTTTTTCATAAACTTCCTTTTTATGCAAAGTGGTGCTTGTTGGAGAAAATAAAGATTTACCAATGAGAAACAGAAGTCTGAAAAGAAAAAAAATATATTTTTTTAGTCTGTTTATTTCTGAGAAACACTCCTACTTGTTGTAACTAATGTTTCTCTCTTGCTTCTTTTATAGCTGCCCTGCAGGTGTCTATATCGTTGAACAAAGTGGAGTTAAGTGTTGGAGAGTCAAAATTTTTCATCTGCACAGGTAAAACTACATACATTATTATTGCTTTTTTGTCTTCAGTAATAATGTTTTTGCCAGTATGTTTGTCTGTATTGTGTCATGAACTGAGAATTTTAATAAAACTGTCAGAACGCAGTCATGTACAACTGATTAATCCAATTTAATCTCTCAAACTATCCTAGCATAGATAAAATAGTGAATTTTACTGATATTAAGCTAAAATCTGTCGTGGTAGTAGCTGACGGTGATTCACGACACATACTCAAAGCACAAACAGATCAGATGTGCGTAACGTTATTTTCAAGCTTAGACTAAAATTGCTACAACTTGAATCCTCAGCATACGATAACTGCATGATGTCCCTTTATTCTAATGCTAGTCCCTACATTTGTACGTGTAAGTGTGCAGTTCATGTGGGTGCAGGGGAAAGTTAGAGAAGCAGCAAGGTGCCAGGTAACACAGCCCAGTGCTTATGTGTGTGATTGTTTAACTCAGATCTGCACCMTCCTCCTTACTGTTCCCGTGTCCCATTGTCCTCTCTGTGCGGCGTTGCTGCACAGAACCTGATGTCGGGGCCAGCCACTCAGTGGGGCGGCGACACTTGTTGGCAGGACTGGCTCGCCTCCTACTGGCTGCTGTCTCTCTCCTGCCAACTCGCGCACCGTGGGGGCTAAAAACCAAGGGAGCAAAGACGCTGTGTGGATCAGCTCGGGTGGGGGGCTGAAAGTGTGCTGAGGGATCTTATATTTCTGGTGGGGGTAGAAAGATAGCAGTAAAGTGAATCAAACTGGCAAAGGCAATCATTCAATAAATAAATAAATAAATAAATAAATAAATAAATAAATAAATAAAAGGAAGTTGTATTGAGTATG